TGGAGAAGTCAGGTAGCAACTTATATTTAAGCACTCACTGTGTGTCAGTCACCAAGTTAGACTTTGAACATATCTTATTCCCTGAGCCCTTCAAGAAACTGGCAAGTAAAGTAGAAGTCTAGCCATTTTATTTTTCTAGATGAGGAAATTGGCTCAGGTATTTCCAGACTCAGGAGACTGAGATGAATCTCGGGTAGAGGAGGATTGTGATGAACAGAGCCGAACAGCTCCAGCACAACTTCTTTCCTCTTTCATGCCAAACTCCAAATGCAGCGCTTTTCTATGAGACATTTTACTTTGCGTTCTCAAAGTTCAACATATTTGCAACCCATTGATTGTATTTTATTCATCATGTCCCATAACTCCGGTTGTCAAATCAATCTTGACACCCCCAATTTTTCTCCTAAGTACATAAACCACACTCTGGTACAACATTACTATCTGGAATGGAGAGTGATATATATATATATATATTCAGAAAAAGAGGTAGCTCTAAGGCAATGATTCTTAACTTTGACTAAGCCCTATAATTACCTGGAGAGTTTTTTTGAAAATATTGATTCTTGGGCTAACCAGATGATCCGAATGCGCAGTTAAGGTTGGGAAACATTGTTTTGGGTCCCTGCCCCATCCCAACAAAAGCCCTATTCTTCTACAGTTGTACTGAAATTGCCTCCATGGGACTTCAAATGGGATGAGGTTTGGGGCACAAGGTGGGTATGAAGAATTAGGCTAAACAACACTCCACAAAAATAAATCTTCACTAACCATATTTTCCTTAATTTTTAAACAACAAATCTTTGAATAAAATCTAAGCCCCAATAAAGAAACGGGTTTTTTTAATGTGGTTCACAGTGAGATATTTTGGATACCAATCCACATCACTTCAGGATAGATATTTGAATTTATACAAAACCAATACAATCCTTCCTGGAGTGAAAATTGCCTGCCCCTGTTGGCTAGTGTGGGAACTTAACTGGAGCCCATTTAATGCCAAGTAGAACTAGAACCTATAGGAAAGTAGCTCTATTTAAAACCCAGTATCACCTGCATAAGTATGCATCAAATTGTAAATCAAACTAATACATAGCTACTTTTGAAAATCTATACACTAGAGCGTTTACCAATAAATACTCCAGCACAGAGATGACATTTTAATCTCAGTGTGTGACAGCTCCCAACCAGAACATGTATAAATTCTCATATGCTAGAGAAGCATTCAATTTGTGCATCTTCAAAACAACTAACGTGTCACGTTCAAATTTATTTAATTAAAAGTGTGCCTGGATCAAGAGCATTAATTCTCAATTACATTGCATGGTAAAGCATCTTGTATAAAATTCGCTCATCTGGCATAAATGCTGGATAGAAACTCTCTCCACAGCTATCCAGTTGGCAAGTGTGGAATGGCTAGCACCACTCTAGTTCACTGCTCTTTCCTTGACTGTCAGATGAAGGGACTCAGAGTGAAGCAGACAGAAAAGAGTTTGGTATCTGCATTTGACCAAAATGACAAATCAGGCATGATTTGTGAGATATGTGATTTAGAGTTTCTTTGAAGGAATCATGAATCATGCATTGCAGATTCTTTGTTAGCTCACTCGTAACTTAAATTTTCTCCAGATCCCTTCCGATTCCTAAATTAAGCTTCTTTGGAAAAAATCAGCAGCACTTTATGAAAATAAATCTTCACTAATCCCATTTTCTTTCATAGTTTTTTTTAACACATCTTTGAATCTTTGACAAAAATCTAACCCCCACTAATGCATATATTACTCCTTTATCACCGAAAGCAAACTTACCTATGAGAAAGAAGAAGTAAGGAAAAGCCCCTGGGTAGGCAAATAGCCTTATCGGAGTCTTCAGTCCTGGCGTCCAGGGTGGGTGGCTGGTTTAAATGAACGCAGGAGTCATTGCTGTGACTGTCAGTCCCGAGAACTGAAACCTGGGAGCTGCACTGGCGGATAGGACTGCAGGCCCCACCCTTTGTTCCACGGAGAATGCTAATGCTAAAATTGCAGTTTGCATTCCTGATCCTGCTGGCTCAGGGAACACTGATGTAGTCTGACAAAGCTACCAGTTTAAAAATCCAGATGGGGAAAAAGAAGTCCCACAAGATGGGACATCTCTGGCGTACTAATAAAATGAGCCGTGCAATAAACGTGTAAATCTGAGCCATTGGAAATGTGCGGTCAGGGTATGTTATTGGTATGTGACCTCATTTGGTCAGATATATTCGAAACACGGAGAAAAAATTTTTCCTACTTTTTGTGAATGCTAGTAAGTCAAGAGTATGTCTATGAATATTTTATTACCCCTCACTTCTTCCCGGTCTGTATATTATTCACTGGCATATAAAAGAAGTCAGGATAAAAAATAAACAAGGAAGAAATTCCTCAGGACTGTAGATCAAGGTATAGGGCAATGTGATGAAAATGTGAGGAAAAATTCAGACCATCAGGAGAGGGAAAAACTAACTGTGACTTATTAATGTGCTGGTAGGATGTATTTTTAAGGGTAAGAAAAGCTTAATTTCAAAAACAATGCCACTCTTCATTGTGATAGGAAAATTTAAATCAGAGGATTAGTATCTAATTGCAATTTTTAAAAAGTAAAAAATGTTTCATGTAGTAGTTCATCAATGATCTCAGGAGCTGAATAACTGAGAACATGATAGAGCAAGTCATCAAGCTATAATACATTTAATTTATAAGCCTCTATGGAAATGTACTGATATATACAGTACTAGTGAATGTATCAATTCTATTTCATCTAATGAATAAGTTGGTCATCTTTTTGGCAAAGCAAAGCAGATTGGTTTTTCTCTTTTCCAGTGAGGAAAATGGGTGTTTTGGCATTGCCAGTACCCAGGATGTTTTCCATATATATATTTTTAAATCATTCTATTAGGGGCTCATACAACTCTTATCACAATCCATACATACATCAATTGTGTCAAGCACATTTGTACATTCTTTGCCCTCATCATTATCAAAACATTTGCTCTCCACCTAAGCCCCTGGCATCTGCTCCTCATTTTTGTTTTCCATATTCTTGGGAATAAAATCAAAACAAAAATCACTCACTACCACTGAGTTGATTGCAACTCATAGCAACCTTGCAGGACAGAGAAAGTTGAGCTGTGCTCTGTGGGTTTCTGGGTCTGGGGATCTTTACTAGAGCAGAAAGTTGCATCTGCCTCCCACTCTTGGGTTTAGTTAAATTTTAATTTCTAAGTTTCTTACCTGAATATTGAAATGAAAACGTATTAAGATTATGTGCTTTAATATAACGATTCTACAAGTTGATGTTTCCTAATCCCAAAACAGTACTCCTTTACACAGGCACCCTGAGTGGATTATGTGCAAGGCTGCCAACCTCAAGATCAGCAGCTTGAATTCACCATCTGGTCCAAGGGAGACTCATGATTTCTGCTCCCCTAAAAATTCACAGCCTGAGAAACCTAAGGGGGTAGTTGTATTCTGTCCTATAGCGCCACCAGGAGGCAAAATGGACTCAATGGCAGTGAGGGTGTTTGTTTGTTTTTGAATATTTCTTTACAGACATGGTCAATATAACTTTTGACTTGTGTTCAGTGCTGATTAATGGTGGAAGCTAAATTATGAGTGTAAGTTGGAAAATGTTGGCCTCAAAAATACAACCTAAAAACAAAAGATTTCAGACTAGGCAACAGAATGAGAAAGTGACTTAATGAAGTTTATAATTAAATATCTATAAGTAGGTTCGATATAACTATATATTACAATTGCTGTTCAAGTTTAGGGCACTTGATATAGGTCTTGTTGGAAACAAAAATTAAGTTTCTTTGACTGGAACATTTTCTCTTAAGTCTCCAGCGAGGGTCCATGCCACACTCAGTACAAAAAGAGGCAGGAGAGAATAAACAAGACACCGGAGAGTTCTCCCTGTCCTGGATCTTACCAGAAGAATTCCACTGGGAACAAAACGTTGAAAGAGCTCGCTATTTTTGTTTCATTCTGTCAATCTTCATACATACATTGAGTTAGATGCATACCCCTTGCTATGGTGAGGACACCGTAATTAATAAAGGAAGTGCAAAATGAAAGGATGAGAATTTCCAAACTGTATTTCAAAGAGGTTGAGATGAGTTTTTGTGAATTCATTCTTTATTATTATTATTTATATAGATCTAAATCATTTCATTGGGGGCTCTTATAGCTCTTATAACAATCCATAAGAAAACAATACTAATATAAAGTTAGTTTACTGACCATAAAGTAAAAGAAAAATAAAATAGTTTAATTATATTAATAAGTGTTATTTTAATTTGCTAGAAAAAATGTCTTGCACAAAGTATCACAATCAAGAGTACCAAAATTTCCATCAAGTTAGTTCCCCTCATTTTCAGAGTTTGACCTTTTTTGTTCCAACATCTGATTTTTCACCTTCTGACCCCTGGTTTTGGAATGTGAGCCATCAGCTCCTGCAGCCTCATGAGTCAGCAAGCACCCTGCCCTCTAATTTGCTAAGATTGGACTGTCAGCCCTTGAAACTGCGTAAGTCGGAAGAAGCCTCCAGTCTAACACCTGACCCACTCATTTGGGACTTGCCAGCTTTTAATTGCATGGTCCATATCCTTGAAATAAATATGTATACATTTATATAAAATACTCCTCACTTATTGACTTTTTAAAACCAAACTCATTGCCATCGAGAGGATGCTGACTCAGAGTGGCCTTATGGGACAGTGTAGAGCTGCCCCATGGGTTTCCTAGACTGTGATTGGTGCCTGTGAAATTTCCTCGATGTGTTTCCTTAATATGGACCAGAGTCTACATGGAGATTTTTCTTTTTTGACAAATCAGCAAGCTTCCCACAGGTCCATTTCTGCCCATAAATTACACTTAAGACGTCCTTTGGTATCATCCTGGTACCATAGAGTCATCCTGTTTACTTTCATTGAACTGACCACATTACTGTGTCCTTAGCTTGTGTGCATGACAAGATTCAAACATTGCAGAAGGTCGTTAGTGTTTATTCATTGTGTTAACCAACATTTGTCTGTGCTCACTGATCAATACCAACAGCACAATTCTTAAATGAACCTTAATAAAGATGAGAATTTTTTATTCTAAAAAGAGTTCACTGATCAGCTGGGTGCCCAGGGAATTCTATTGTCTTAAGTACCCTTTGTGGTGATTTATTTTAGAATGAGTGAGCATGTTACAGGACATGTTTCGTATCTATTCCTAACCAAAACGATTGTTCTCACATGTTGACTCACAGCGATCTTATGCACAGCAGAATGAAATGCTGCCTGGTCCTGCTTAATCCTCACAGTTATTTGAAGCCATTATTGCAGTGACTGTGCCAACTCATCTCTTTCAAGGTCTTCCTGTTTCTCGCTTACCTTCTTTATTATT